ATAGTATGTTACTTGACAAATGTTTGTCCATTTATGTAGGACTTTCTGTATTATCTAAAATCGTGCAAGTATAGTTAACTAGAAAATGTCTAGTTTAAAGATGCCCCAGATGAAAGGGTGTGTGATATTTATTACACCTTCCTGTCCCACATTTGTCAGTATTTGGGTTGATACATCTAGGAAGTGTTTCTCGGGAGATTTCTCTATTATATATACTGGCCCCATACTCCCTTAGCAAAGCGGTAGATACGTGTACGTATCACCCGTTTGTTTGCAGACTGATTAATCAATGTTGATATTAATGATGATAGATCTGAGTTTATTGATTGTTATTACCATTGCTAGGTAGTCTGGTGATTACTTTTCTCTGGATATATCGCTGATCAATGGAAATGTGTTGCGGAATCAGGTTAATATGCTTCAGTGCTATTTTAGTACCCAAGAGAGCCATAAAAAGATTGGCATAATAGATTTATTAAGGAAAATATTATTCAAAACCATCCGTTGGTAATAGAAAGGGGAAAGTGCAAGTGAATGACCGACTGAACAAGTGCAGATTCTACTGCTTTGAAGTTTAGCAGCCTTGTGTATGTGAAAGGATCAACCATTAGATATTGTTTAGTGATGAAGGAGGGCTTAACGATGACGTTGATGACCATCACAAAGTTTAGTACCAGGAGATTTGTATACCTGAAGTCATTCTATTTGTGTCAACAGGCAAAACTAATCATATGTTTGTGTGATTACAAATTATCAAATTTGGATTGAAAGGCAATCTACAATTAGTCATTTCGTAGTTTAAACAAGCTCTCTTTTTCAGTGACATGTCTGTCTATGTCAGTATTTTTTTAATTTTAAAGAAGAGTGTGAAGACAATTAACATTCAATATTTGTAGGTTAATTTTTTTATTTTTAAATGTTTTTTCAATCATGTATTTTGGTAATTTAAATGCAGATGTAATGAAAAATTTGTAAAGAAACTATCAGAAATGTATTTGCTCAATTAGCATATGCGTCGATGCAGAATTATCAGTGATGACATTGTTGACTGAGAATGTTGGGTGTATAACGCAGACAAGAGGTTTGCTATTTCATGCCCTTTGAACTCTTCATTGAGTTCTGGCTTCAAATATCTTGCTGGGAACAATGGAAATTGAAAGGTAACAATGTTTTCCCCTTGGAAGCCAGTTCAAAGTGGTGCATATATATATTCCCATCTTGTGATGTCATAGTGCCCTTGTCAAGACAACAGAAGGATGGAGATATAAGGTGTGTACATTTCATCAATGCTTTCGAAGAATTTCACATGGTGTTTTATCTTCATGTTTGCAATAAAACTTTGACACAATCAAACTTGATTTATTCTAATGTAGGACCACTCTAAGGTGACAGCAATTTTATGTGGAAGTGTCAACCATAAACCACCATTTCTCCAGGTTTAAGTGTGAATTCTGCTGTAACTATGTCAATATCGGTTGTCAGGGGAGACAAATATTTGATTTAGTGGGTCTTGTTTTGAGATGCAGGTGAAGAGTGAGATGTCTGGGCTGTTAACCAACACTCATCCACACCTGTCCTGAGTTAAGTTGCTAAGTCAGTCGGGTGCTAGAACAGGCAAACTATCAAACATTATTGAGCTTGAGCGTAGCATTCCTCACACTGGGTCGTGGAATGGGAGACTGTGGTGTTAGTTGTGTCATCGGCATGGGGGCCGAGGTGTCGGAGGTGTCGGAAGGAGACATGTCGCCTATGTGGATAGTACTTGATCTCTAATGAGCAGAATACACAACACATCACCTGTCCAGGTAAGGGTCAAGATTATTTCATGTACTGATGGTTTTTGTATCAGTTTGTTTAGAAATCCTGTTGATGATGATGATGATGATGATGATGATGATGATGATGATGATGATGATGGCGACGGTGACGCCCTGTAGATTTGATGTTATCAGTTTGGTTATAAATTCTGTTTATGGTGATCATGATGATGATTACCTGTAGATTTGATGTTATCAGTTTGGTTAGAAATTCTGTTGATGGTGATGGTGATGGTGATGATTTTGGTTAGAAATTCTGTCAAGGATGTACTGATGGTTTTTGTATCAGTTTGTTCAGAAATCCTGTTGATGATGATGATGATGACGATGACGATGATGATGGTGATGATGATGATGATGATGATGACGACAACAAAAATGATAACATGTAGATGTGATACTACTTATTGTTGATATTCATTGAAGTATCATTTTCTAGTAGAAAATATAGGAGTTGCTTGAATGTTATTGCTTTTTGTTTTTGTAAACAATCTTAGTAAACATGGCTGAGGTTTTGCTGATGCAATGTTAAATATTAGTTTACATTTGAAAGAACTTTTTTTTGACTGAATAATTTCATGAATCAATGTAGTTTGTGATGTTTCTATTTGCTGAGCATGTTTTGTTGAATTATTGCCAAAATGTCTTTAAACTTCTAGGAGGATTTGTGCGATGAGGTTTATGTTTTAAAATCATAGATTTTAATGTTTGAATGTGGTCATATTTCTCTATTTAGATAGACCCTATGGTTTCAGAACCTTATTTATATCATGGTATGTCAGGTGAATATGGGAGTATAGCCCCAAGTGAGGAGGTCTTACTAGCTTGGTTTAACCAATGAGCATGGGTATAGTTCTGACAAACCTAATAACATTATCAGGGTGAACTGGGATATTACTGGAACACTTTTCAAAGTGGCATTAAACTCTTTATCTCCTATGGCAGTATCTTTATTTGATATGCATAATCTAGTATTTGATAATTACCCTAAATACACAGTCACAATGGTGTAATTTGGCAGAAATTAGTTTCAACATCTCGAATGGCACAATGTCTTAGTCAGGGAGTGTTTTGGCTTTGCACATCAGAGTTTTAGAAGGGTTAGAATTAATCTTCAGTAACTTCAGGCAACTAGTGGGATCAGGTGGTCAGACTTGTGGACTTGGTTGACACATGTCATCGCATCAGAATTGCGTATATCGATGTTCATGCTGTTGATCATTGGATTGTCTGGTCCAGACTTGATTATTAACAGATTACCGCCATATAGCTGGAATGTAGTGCAGCATGTCTGATAATATTTGAGCCCAGACAATCCAGTGGTTGATATTGTAAACAACAATCCGTGGGTTCAGGATGATGGTTAACAGATCAGACAATCCAGTGGTTGATACCGTAAACAACAATCCGTGGGTTCAGGGTGATGGTTAACAGATCAGACAATCCAGTGGTTGATGTTGTAAACAACAATCCGTGGGTTCAGGGTGATGGTTAACAGATCAGACAATCCAGTGGTTGATACTGTAAACAACAATTGCGGGTTCAGGGTGATGGTTAACAGATCAGACAATCCAGTGGTTGATACTGTAAAACAACAATCCGTGGGTTCAGGGTGATGGTTAACAGATCAGACAATCCAGTGGTTGATACTGTAAACAACAATTCGTGGGTTCAGGGTGATGGTTAACAGATCAGACAATCCAGTGGTTGATACTGTAAACAACAATTCGTGGGTTCAGGGTGATGGTTAACAGATCAGACAATCCAGTGGTTGATACTGTAAACAACAATTCGTGGGTTCAGGGTGATGGTTAACAGATCAGACAATCCAGTGGTTGATATTGTAAACAACAATCCGTGGGTTCAGGGTGATGGTTAACAGATCAGACAATCCAGTGGTTGATACCGTAAATAACAATCCGTGGGTTCAGGGTGATGGTTAACAGACCAGACGTTTTCCATCCGACAAAATGATGTTTTCAGGAGTTCATTGGTGAATAGATACCAACCCTTATGTGATATTTCCTTTCTGAAAATATTCATCATCTGCATGTTTTTACAAACTATATGAAAAGCTACAGTCATATATGTTTTTCTTTTGAAAATTTCTTTGAGGCGGTGGGGTGGTGGGGTAGCCTGTGGTTAAAACGTTCACTCGTCACGCTGAACACCCTGGTTCAATTCCCCACATGGGTACAAAGTGCGAAGCCCATTTCTGGTGTCCCTCGCCGTGATATTGCTGGAATATTGCTAAAAGCAGGTTAAAGCTAGACTCACTAACTCACTCTTTGAGCAGGTCATCATTTTCGCATATAGGTTCAAAGGTGTGTTTTGGGGGCACTTCTCAAAAAGTTTGGTATCTGCCTCCAGGGTTTTGAAATGTTCTCAAAGTATCGTTTAGTTTTAAAAAAATGAATTCCTGCATGTGTTGTCTCATCAAGAAAAGATAATCACTGGCCCGCACTTGCGAGACCAGTCAACAGATTGCTCCTAATCATGCATGTAGGAGACATAACGCTTCTAAATCATGGTGGAAGATAATTTCAGACAAAAACTCTCTCAAAAGACTGGATGATATATTGAAATATCTACCAATGAGCATGGGATTTTACGTGGTGTCTGCAATCTTTTGATCCACTGGCAGTGTGATGCTACTTAATCACTCGCGTCAGAATATATATAGTCTTAAATGAGTCCCATGAAACCACTATATTAAATGAAGTTAGATCCTGCTAAAGAATGGTTTGCAGTAAACACTCAATGTGCGATGGAGTTTTTCAGGAATAAAAAGTCTCCAAGATGTTTGAGGCAGCAGCTAATAGGTTAACAGCATCACACTCATCAACATTTGACTGGCATTAAGTCGCTTAGCTAATTTTTTTTGTCACCAAACATCCTGTTTCACAATGAAACTCCTAGAAAAAATGACTGTGACCCGGCTGTGAGTTTGGGCTGATTGTTTGAGAGTAATGCTTTAAAGATAACACAAGCAACATGGCCAACTAGTTTATCCAGGGGAATTGTTTGTTTGGTGACCCTCTGGTTGACGGCGCTCTACGGTGCAACCAACGTTGTGCAAACTGGCCGCATACTCATTCTGTAGTTGTAGTATGCATTTTCACTTGTATGCTATCGCTGTGGTTGTTTCTGGACGCTCAGTGTCACGATTTTCCCTCTTTTCAGTACATTGGGTCGTTTTCGGTGAACGGGAGTGATCAGGCATCAAGAGTGGACTATGTTCAGGGGCAGCTCGAGGGAATGAGAGTGAGTATTGATATATGTATTTTCTGTCAAATGATGTCTTTATCAATCATTTTCCTGATGACTAGACAGCTGTCGTGTTCATGAATTCACCATGTCATGACCCCTCTGCTGACTAGACAGTCTTGGTTAAAAGAAGGAAATGCGGATTAATGCTTGCGATATATACGCAGTTTCTTTGAGAAACATTGGATGTTTTCTTTATTGTTACTTAAACAACGTGTGCAATGCCACATTTTTGTCAAATTAGTTACAGAAAAACCAACTATGTTCATATAGAGTTTTAGTTGAAAAAATAAACTGTTTCTTCAGTTCAAGTTAAAAGTTCTACAAGATTATGTGCTGCAAATTTTCAGTTATATTTCAAATTCAGTAGGGTAAAAAACAAGAGTATTTGAAATAATCCATTTGACTTAAAAGCTTCAAATGTTTATAACCTTTGTATCACATGCCTTTTGATAAGTGACACATGATTTGCTCAGATTTCTTTGTAATATCTGCATGAGCTTCACAGTTATAGAAATAGTGTGGGATGGGTTAACATGACATATACCCCTGGATTGTTTGTTCCTTGTCGGACAGCTCCATACCCATGCTCTTTCATCAAAGAAGGACATGATGAAACAGGTGCACCATTTGTCTGCCTGTAACAAATTTATGTGAGATTAAATGCATGCCCCTAGTTGTTTGTAACAGTTGTTTGTGACAGTTGTTTGTGACATGAAATGTGTGTCCCTATTGTCTGCCTGTAACAAATGTATGTGAGATGAAAGGTGTGTCCCTGTTGCCTACCTGTAACAAATGTGTGTGAGATGAAAGGTGTGTCCCTATTGCTGCCTGTAACAAATTTATGTGAGATGAAAGGTGTGTCCCTGTTGCCTACCTGTAACAAATGTGTGTGAGATGAAAGGTGTGTCCCTATTGCCTACCTGTAACAAATGTATGTGAGATGAAAGGTGTGTCCCTGTTGCCTACCTGTAACAAATGTATGTGAGATGAAAGGTGTGTCCCTATTGCCTACCTGTAACAAATGTGTGTGAGATGAAAGGTGTGTCCCTGTTGCCTACCTGTAACAAATGTGTGTGAGATGAAAGGTGTGTCCCTATTGCCTACCTGTAACAAATGTGTGTGAGATGAAAGGTGTGTCCCTGTTGCCTACCTGTAACAAATGTATGTGAGATGAAAGGTGCGTCCCAATTACCTACCTGTAACAAATGTATGTGAGATGAAAGGTGTGCACCTATTGCTGCCTGTAACAAAAGTTTGTGAGATGAAAGGTGTGTCTCTATTGCTGCCTGTAACAAATGTATGTGAGATGAAAGGTGTTTCCCTAATGCCTACCTGTAACAAAAGTTTGTGAGATGAAAGGTGTGTCCCTATTGCCTACCTGTAACAAATGTCTGTGAGAAGAAAGGTGTGCACCTATTGTCTGCCTGTAACAAATGTTTGTGAGATGAAAGGTGTGTCTCTATTGGTTACCTGTAACAAATGTATGTGAAATGAAAGGTGTGTCCCTATTGCCTACCTGTAACAAATGTATGTCAGATGAAAGGTGTGCACCTATTGCTGCCTGTAACAAAAGTTTGTGAGATGAAAGGTGTGTCCCTATTGCTTACCTGTAACAAATGTTTGTGAGATGAAAGGTGTGTCCCTATTGCTGCCTGTAACAAATGTTTGTGAGATGAAAGGTGTGTCTCTATTGGTTACCTGTAACAAATGTATGTGAGATGAAAGGTGTGCACCTATTGTCTGCCTGTAACAAATGTTTGTGAGATGAAAGGTGTGTCTCTATTGGTTACCTGTAACAAATGTATGTGAGATGAAAGGTGTGTCCCTATTGTCTACCTGTAACAAAAGTTTGTGAGATGAAAGGTGTGCACCTATTGCTGCCTGTAACAAAAGTTTGTGAGATGAAAGGTGTGTCTCTATTGCTGCCTGTAACAAAAGTTTGTGAGATGAAAGGTGTGTCCCTATTGCTTACCTGTAACAAATGTTTGTGAGATGAAAGGTGTGTCCCTATTGCTGCCTGTAACAAATGTTTGTGAGATGAAAGGTGTGTCTCTATTGGTTACCTGTAACAAATGTATGTGAGATGAAAGGTGTGCACCTATTGTCTGCCTGTAACAAATGTTTGTGAGATGAAAGGTGTGTCTCTATTGGTGACCTGTAACAAATGTATGTGAGATGAAAGTTGTGCACCTATTGCTTACCTGTAACAAATGTATGTAAGATGAAAGGGGTGTCCCTATTGCCTACCTGTAACGAAAGTTTGTGAGATGAAAAGTGTGTCCCTATTGCCTACCTGTAACAAATGTTTGTGAGATGAAAGGTGTGCACCTATTGTCTACCTGTAAGAAATGTATGTGAGATGAAAGGTGTGTCCCTATTGTCTACCTGTAACAAAAGTTTGTGAGATGAAAGGTGTGCACCTATTGTCTACCTGTAACAAATGTTTGTGAGATGAAAGGTGTGCACCTATTGTCTACCTGTAAGAAATGTTTGTGAGATGAAAGGTGTGTCCCTATTGTCTGCCTGTAACAAATGTTTGTGAGATGAAAGGTGTGCACCTATTGTCTACCTGTAAGAAATGTATGTGAGATGAAAGGTGTGTCCCTATTGCTGCCTGTAACAAAAGTTTGTGAGATGAAAGGTGTGTCTCTATTGCTGCCTGTAACAAAAGTTTGTGAGATGAAAGGTGTGTCTCTATTGGTTACCTGTAACAAATGTATGTGAGATGAAAGGTGTGCACCTATTGCTTACCTGTAACAAATGTATGTAAGATGAAAGGGGTGTCCCTATTGCCTACCTGTAACGAAAGTTTGTGAGATGAAAAGTGTGTCCCTATTGCCTACCTGTAACAAATGTTTGTGAGATGAAAGGTGTGTCCCTATTGCTGCCTGTAACAAATGTTTGTGAGATGAAAGGTGTGTCTCTATTGGTTACCTGTAACAAATGTATGTGAGATGAAAGGTGTGCACCTATTGTCTGCCTGTAACAAATGTTTGTGAGATGAAAGGTGTGTCTCTATTGGTTACCTGTAACAAATGTATGTGAGATGAAAGGTGTGTCCCTATTGCTTACCTGTAACAAATGTATGTGAGATGAAAGGTGTGTCCCTATTGCCTACCTGTAACCCCTATTGCCTACCTGTAACAAATGTTTGTGAGATGAAAGGTGTGCACCTATTGTCTACCTGTAACAAATGTATGTGAGATGAAAGGTGTGTCCCTATTGCTACCTGTAACAAAAGTTTGTGAGATGAAAGGTGTGTCCCTATTGCTGCCTGTAACAAAAGTTTGTGAGATGAAAGGTGTGTCTCTATTGCCTACCTGTAACAAATGTATGTGAGATGAAAGGTGTGTCCCTATTGTCTACCTGTAACAAATGTATGTGAGATGAAAGGTGTGTCCCTATTGCCTACCTGTAACAAAAGTTTGTGAGATGAAAGGTGTGTCCCTATTGCTGCCTGTAACAAAAGTTTGTGAGATGAAAGGTGTGTCCCTATTGCCTACCTGTAACAAATGTATGTGAGATGAAAGGTGTGTCCCTATTGCTGCCTGTAACAAAAGTTTGTGAGATGAAAGGTGTGTCCCTATTGCCTACCTGTAACAAAAGTTTGTGAGATGAAAGGTGTGTCCCTATTGCTGCCTGTAACAAATGTTTGTGAGATGAAAGGTGTGTCCCTATTGGTTACCTGTAACAAATGTATGTGAGATGAAAGGTGTGTCCCTATTGTCTGCCTGTAACAAATGTTTGTGAGATGAAAGGTGTGTCCCTATTGGTTACCTGTAACAAATGTATGTGAGATGAAAGGTGTGTCCCTATTGCTGCCTGTAACAAATGTATGTGAAATGAAAGGTGTGTCCCTTTTGGTTACCTGTAACAAATGTATGTGAGATGAAAGGTATGTTCGTATTGGTTACCTGTAACAAATGTATGTGAGATGAAAGGTGTGTCCCTATTGCCTACCTGTAACAAATGTATGTGAGATGAAAGGTGTGCCCCTATTGTCTGCCTGTAACAAATGTTTTGAGGTGAAAGGTGTTCCCCTACTGACTGCCTGCTACAGAGGTTTGGCCTGGTTTCCTGTTAATTAATCATGCAGGATCTGGACAGAGGTTATCAGTGTGCTGTGCCAATACTGTGGGCAGAGATTAATCACTGTGATTATTAATGTCTTCACACTTTCATGATTTGTGTTATATAGAAAAACAGTGTAGCTGTACCCGATTCCAACTGGAATGCTAAATATATAGAAAGCAAACTTACATAATGACCTACTTAATGTTGTAGTTTGATCAAGGGTATTTCATGTAAAATTTACAAAGTAAAATATAATAATGTTTTCAGAAGTATTACAGGGAATTTCACATATATTTACATTTGTTATAAATCAAACAGTAGTTCTGCTGTCACATTTCATTTACTGTCATATTCAAAAGTGTTGAGAATTTAAAGGATTACAACTTCCCTTTAGCTTGAGCAGTGACAGGGAGGAGGAATAGGGTTGACTTTTACAATGTTGGTAACACTATTACATTCAGTAATATAAATGTCAAGCCTTGACACTGGTGAACACCATGGCAATAGTGAAATTAGCTCCAGAAGTTATCCCAAATAAATATTTTGACAGTGACATTTATTTGATCATGCAGCCCAAAGCAGACCATTGACGTAAATCAACAAGAAATAGAACATCAAACCACATCAAGAGATAAAATAGGGAATGTCAAATGAAAATGAAACTGTTCCTCATCTCCAGAATTGATAACAGTTTGGACCTGTTTAGATTTGATATCACTTCAGACATTTCAAAAAGCCAATTAGTTAAAAGTTCATGTAATCCATCAATGATCACTGTTTAGGTGATAAAATGCACTTTTATTCAACAAAACACACTCAACCATGTTAATGTTAATGATAAAATATCAAAGATTGATCTATTTTATACAAAACCCTGATACCATCATGTTAATAATGTTAATAATTTAAATTTTCAATTTCATCTCACATACTAATTTTAAATCCAATTCAGTTATCCCTGTCACCTGTCATTGCCGTACTGATGCTGGTGTTCACTCTGATGGTAATTGTCATGTTTGTTTCAGCATGCGACCAAGAGCAAGCGAGTCCTTCTAGTCATCTCTCTGTCTGGATTGAAAGTCTGCAGCTGTGATGGGGAGGTAACTAGCTACTTCCTGTCTTTAACAACAACCCTTTGTTAGGAACTAGCTACTTCCTGTCTCTCAGAACAACCCTTTGTTAAGAACTAGCTACTTCCTGTCTCTCAGAACAACCCTTTGTTAGTAACTAGCTACTTCCTGTCTCTCAGAAAAACCATTTGTTAGGAACTACCTACTTCCAGTCGCTCAAAACAGCCCTTTGTTAGGAACTAGCTACTTCCTATCTCTCAGGACAACCCTTTGTTAGGAACTAGCTACATCCTGTCTCTCACAACAACCCTTTGTTAGGAACTAGTTACTTCCTGTCTCTCAAAACAACCCTTTGTTAGGAACTAGCTACTTCCTATCTCTCAGGACAACCCTTTGTTAGGAACTAGCTACTTCCTGTCTCTCACAACAACCCCTTTGTTAGGAACTAGCTACTCCCTGTCTTTCAGAACAACGCTTTGTTAGGAACTAGCTACTTCCTGTCTCTCAGAACAACCCTTTGTTAGGAACTACCTACTTCCTGTCTCTCAGAACAACTCTGTGTTAGGAACTAGCTACTTCCTGTCTCTCAGAACAACCCTTTGTTAGGAACTAGCTACTTCCTGTCTCTCAGAACAACCCTTTGTTAGGAACTAGCTACTTCCTGTCTCTCAGAACAACCCTTTGTTAGGAACTAGCTACTTCCTGTCTCTCAGAACAACTCTGTGTTAGGAACTAGCTACTTCCTGTCTCTCAGAACAATCCCTTTGTTAGGAACTAGCTACTTCCTGTCTCTCAGAACAATCCTTTGTTAGGAACTAGCTACTTCCTGTCTCTCAGAACAACCCTTTGTTAGGAACTAGCTACTTCCTGTCTCTCAGAACAACCCTTTGTTAGGAACTAGCTACTTCCTGTCTCTCAGAACTAGCTACTTTCCTGTCTCTCAGAACAACCCTTTGTTAGAAACTAGCTACTTTTGTTAGGAACTGTACTTCCTGTCTCTCAGAACAACTCTGTTAGGAACCTACTTTGTTTTGTTAGGAACTAGCTACTTCCCTGTCTCTCAGAACAACCCTTTGTTAGGAACTAGCTACTTCCTGTCTCTCAGAACAACCTAGCTACTTGTTAGGAAACTAGCTACTTCCTGTCTCTCAGAACAACCCTTTGTTAGGAACTAGCTACTTCCTGTCTCTCAGAACAACTCTGTGTTAGGAACTAGCTACTTCCTGTCTCTCAGAACAACCCTTTGTTAGGAACTAGCTACTTCCTGTCTCTCAGAACAATCCTTTGTTAGGAACTACCTACTTCCTGTCTCTCAGAACAACTCTGTGTTAGGAACTAGCTACTTCCTGTCTCTCAGGACAACCCTTTGTTAGGAACTAGCTACTTCCTGTCTCTCAGGACAACCCTTTGTTAGGAACTAGCTACTTCCTGTCTCTCAGAACAACTCTGTGTTAGGAACTAGCTACTTCCTGTCTCTCAGGACAACCCTTTGTTAGGAACTACCTACTTCCTGTCTCTCAGAACAACTCTGTGTTAGGAACTACCTACTTCCTGTCTCTCAGAACAACTCTGTGTTAGGAACTAGCTACTTCCTGTCTGTCAGAACAACTCTGTGTTAGGAACTAGCTACTTCCTGTCTGTCAGAACAACTCTGTGTTAGGAACTAGCTACTTCCTGTCTCTCAGAACAACTCTGTGTTAGGAACTAGCTACTTCAACTCTGCTCAGTCACTGGTTTGTCTGGTCCAAACTTGTCTCCATGGAGCTCTGATAAAGCTTCAATATTGCAGTCTTTGAATCTAGCAACTAAAGCTTTAATCTGGTAAAATTTTTGTTCAGTCTTGTACGTTAGCCCATTCAACACCGCAGGCCGAATAATCGGCCACAACGTTATGAGTCCCCAGACACCGGAGGCCGATTAATCGGCCAGGCAGTAGTCACGTCAAAATGAGACATAATTTTAGGAACCTACCTGACTTTTGATTCATATATCAAATCTGTCACATTTCACAATGTCTGAACACTTATTAAATTTCAATTTATCATATATTACCAGCAGAATTAAAATTATAAACTATTTTTCGCAATGTTATTGAAAACAACGATTCTCGGACACATGCTTCGGCAGCAGACCCACAATAACATTGTCAAAGAGCAAAGTAACGATGTTTCGAGGAAATTATTAAATAAATTGAATAAACTAATGAATAAAATCAACAACAGCATTCATAAAAGTTGTCAAACGTACATATAAAATTACTATTTCCATCTTTTTGTGCGATCATGTAATGCAAGTCCAGTCACTGACAAGTTACATCTCGGCTCTCGCCGCCTCAATCTTCACGCTCGGACACGATGTTTAATGCGAAAATACATACATTAAGCATTTTTGTCACAGGTCATAACCTAGCACGATACGTCCAATACGTTCCATAATTTAAGTATAGGTAGCGATTTCTTGCTTAATATGTTCAGAATAGCATTATTTTACCCAAAACTTTTGTCAAAATCTAAAAGTTTTCGTTTACGAGGACGGTATCCATTGCCATAATATGATTAGCTACCTTAGGTCACGTGTCTGATTTTGACCAATCAAGACCCTTATAGCAGACTGTGGCGAAAAAGCGTCATTGGAAACCAATCTTTATCCAATAAAATCGCTTCTTACAACTGTGAAAATACTCTTGGCAAGGATACAGTGATATTGTTGATGTTCAGAGCTTTTGAACGATGCCCGACATCAAACAATTTGCCGCGCATGTTATTCATACGAAGCTTCGAAAGTGGAGGTATTTTCAGTTGTTATGTCATTTTACCGGCGGGAAAGCCACAGATATCGGGAAATAGGCTTACCATACATATTATTTAAGAAATCTTTTTATAATAATTTTCTGATTACGTAAATATGAAAATATAAAAGAAAAAGGCACGGGCATGTTATGAGATGTCACAAATGGAAAAAATCACCATAGTTTTTGCTTCTTTCGTGGTTTATCTGGACGTTATAAATGTAAGCTTGCATTTTCATTCAAATATAAATTTATTTAAGTTGTAGTTGTATTATTTGAATAATATTATAAAAATAAACTTCATATTTATCAACAGTAGGATTAGATCTTTTAAATGGTGTATGGGATGTAGTAGCAATAACGTTTTACAAGCTTATAATTTCCTTCATAAACATAGGCTTCATCTATGACCTCAGAGTCTCTGGGAACTCGGTGTCATGGCAGTAAATGCCTCTGGTTGACTGGTGTTGAAAGAGTTAAACTATTACTAGACTAAAGATAATGTCAAAATCTACAGAAAATCATGTATACACTCATGTTCAGCCTGGTAGACAGACATACAATACTTTTGTTACAGGGTGATATCACTGGATGCAGAATTCAACCGTTCCTCACATTCACTTTGTCACAACAAATCAGTTGTCTTTTTTGTCCCCCGCCGCAATGCGGAACGGGGGACTATGTATTCAGCGGCGTCCGTCTGTCTGTCCGTCCGTCCCGATTCTTGTTAACGCGATATCTCATGAACTGTTGCACCCAATGTATTCAAATTTGGTGACAGCCTACATTGGGGGATTATGCAGACACCAGTCGATTTGGGTGACCTTGACCGTATTTTCAAGGTCACCACGACACTTTGACCACTTTTCAAACTGTTGTTAACGTGATATCTCATGCACTGTTGTACCCAGTGTCCTCAAATTTGGTGACAGCCTACATTGGGGGATTACGCAGACACCACTGTATTTAGGTGACCTTGACTTTATTTTCAAGGTCACCACGACACTTTGAACACTTTATAAACTTTTCTTAACATGGCATCTCATCGACTGTTGTACCCAATGTCTTCAAATTTGGTGACAGCCTACATTGGGGGATTACGCAGACACCAGTTGATTTTGGGTGACCTTGACCTTATTTTCAAGGTCACCACGACACTTTTCACACTTTATAAACTCTTGTTAACGCGATATCTCATGGACTGTTGTACCCAATGTCATCAAATTTGGTGACAGTTTACATTGGGGTATTACACAGACACCAGTTTATTTGGGTGACCATGACCTTATCTTCAAGGCCACCACGATACTTTGACTGCTTTTTAAAGGCGATATCTCATAAAACATTGCACCCAATGTTTTCAAGTATGTTGACAGCCTACATTGGGTGATTATGCAGACACCAGTCATTTCAGGCATCTTGTATGTGACCCAAAAATAAAAAAGTAGTAAATATAGATATTCCATTCTTTAGCGGCGGGGGACATTGCCACATCAGAGGCAAACACTTGTCTTTAACTGTTTGTCCATCTGTCTGTCTGTCTTAGGAGTCAGCTTTAATGGTAATTTGACGGGTTTATTTGTACCATACACTAACAACTGACAGACACACGTAGACTGAAAGAGCCTACAGCATGCAAAGACCGACTCTAAACACTTGTTATCTGATCAGTTTAAAAGACTTGTGTTAAGGGCACAGACATTTTACTTTAAGGGGAGATTTCAGATTATTGATTCATCAGTATTATGCAGTTAAGTAAGACATAAATGTCTCTTCATTTGTGACAATTTTACCCTGAGGCTAGTAACTGTAAAGGTGCTGCCAGATGTACTGATGAAAGATCTGATAGCGTCAGAAGCTTTAGACTTGATTTCTTTTTTTGTTTTTGGTTCACAGATTTTTGTCTCCAAAATTCAGGTCCTTAGGTCTTGAAATTAAAAAGTAAAAAGAACAGCAACTGTTCTTTATCATTTCATCAAAATGTTCATTAAGAAAGCAAAAATATGCGTATAAGACATCAATCCTGGTGTTAGGGTATTGATTAATTCATATATCAAGATGTAATCTGAGATAACATGGTACAGCTTTTAACTGAAGTTAATGTTGAAAATGTTTAAAATTGTGCTAACCCTTAAACTCCGGGATCAGGCTTGGATCTGTTGAAGGTTGTGTAGTTTTAAAAAGGCCTGATTGTTTCAAAAGATAAAGAGGGTTCAGCAGGTAGAAATTGTGAGTAAGTCGA